GTGACTTGTTGACTCAGTCACCTGTTCCCAGTCTATTCATTCAATCTTTATTTCTACAGGTTAATCCCATTGAGCCTCGAGGACTCATTTACAAGAGAGACCTGATTTTAACGAGTGATGACAACAGTGGACAACAAAGACAACAATAGGCAATCATGACGGATGCGAACAAATTGAGATTTTTTTTTTGACAAGTGAAAATAAAATGGTATTTTAAAGAAAGTGTAACAAAACAAAAAAAAAACAGCTAGGTTGTAAGATGGTGTAGCAAACTAAAAACAGGAACATGTCTGCATTGGTTTTTGCCATGAACTTAACAGATGTTTGAAGCCACTTAGAGAGGTCAAGGTCGAGAGCTTCACGTCTTTTTGCAAGATAATCCAGGAAACAGGAGCGGAGAAGGAGAAGGTCCTTTTGCCTAGTTCAGTCCTCACTGAGGGAACACTGCAGGTAATGATGTCCTGAGAGCGCACGCTGTAGCTGCACTCACGCAGAGACATGTAGGAGGAGATGTATGAAGATAGCAGACCAATTTAAAGATAAAAATGTACAAAAAAAATCCCTTATGAGAGTCTATGTTCAGTTAATGATGTCCAGTTAACCAGTGAATACAGGATGCAGTGTACGATACTCACAGCCAGTTATGAATCTTAGTGCACCCTGATAGAGAGCATCCAACATCTGCAGGGTGCTTGTAGGGGCAATCATGTAAATAATGTCACTGTAGTCAATAGAGGGAAGGAAAGTAGTAGTTACAAGGCGATCCCTAGCGTTTAGAGTTAGACAGGACCTGTTTTGAAAAAAGAAACCCAGTTTTACATTCAATTTATTTACCAAGTTTTCGACATGAGGCTCAAAAGAGAGATGCAAATTGACCAAGATACCCAAATATTTATAAAAATCAACAAACTCAACAGGGACACCAATCAAAGATAAAATAGAAAGAAGGACTGCTGGTACCAACTTCTTGTTTGAAAACAACATCCCTTTGGTTTTATTAGCATTTAGCACAAGTTTGAGACGGAATAAATCTGACTGGATGATGTTGAAAGTGGACTGTAAAAGCTGGAGTACCTAAGCAAATGTGTTAGCTCGACAATAGACAACTGTATCATCAGCGTAGAAATGTATGGATGCATCAGGAATGATCTGACCTACATTACTTATGTAGATTGTAAAGATGGTGGCTCCTAAGACTGAACCTTGTGGTACACCATTGTTAACAGATAACTGGAATAAACACTGAACTCATTGCCTCAGCTCTGAGAGATAATTAGAGAACCAGCCAATAGTGTGATCTGAGAAACCAATTTCTGAGAGCTTATGACACAAGATGTTATGATCCACAGTGTCAAAAGTTTTAGACAGGTCTAAGAAAAGTGCAGCACAATAATCCTTAGCATCCAGTGCTTCAACAACATCATTAAGAACCTTCAGTGAAGCAGTCGTGCTGTGTCGTTTCCTGAAACCAGATTGATGGGGAGGTAAGATGTTAAAAGAATTCAAATACTTCTTGACTTAGGAGTTTATCAGCTTTTATAAAACCCTAGCAATAATGCAGAGTTTAGAGATTGGTAGATAATTGTTCATTATGGTGGGGTCACCTCTCTTCAGCAGAGGTAGAGCAAAAGCTGTTTTCCAGGTGTTTGGAACGGTATTTTGCAGGTGTTACAAAATGTTGCAGGTGACATGCATTCCTTCAAGGACAGCTCTACTTTTCTTGGTTCATTAAGTGCCTGCAGATTAAAAATTATATATATATATATATATATATATATATATATATATATATATATATATATATATTCAGTTTCTTCAAGACCCGCAGATTAAATATTATGTAATGTACTTGTTTAATGTATCTTGCTGCACGTTGTGGGTTCACAGTGATGCTCGAGTCCCATCGGACCGGGTTATGATAGGTGTTGGATTTCATTGTGTTTTTGTTAGGAGACCTGTTTGTGACATGAGACCCGTCTTATCGTTGTAATCAGCGCTGCTGTCTGTCATCTCCCCTCACCTGTCTCCACCTTTGCTTCAGCAGTGGGTCTCCCCTGTGTTTGCATTTGTCATGCGACGGCACAGAAACTTTGGCTCTGGTTTCAAGATCTTATCAGGTGATCAGCAAGTCGTGCGTGGTCATTGCTCAGTGTTCTGCCCGACAACAGAGTCGCTGTATGTTCTGACTGCGTCCGCTGAAACTGGGTCACAGGACAGGCCATCGTCGAGCGAGTGAGCGTGGCTGAGTAGGTTGAAATGTTGCATTTGGTTTAAAAGCGTGAGGATAAAACAGATTATCATCCATATTAGATACTAAACAGGTTCATAATTCACAGCCTGGCGTTCCTTAAAGAAATGTATATCGCCAACCACTCTTCGTGGCAGAGTTTTAGCTGTTTGGACAAACTAAAAAAAAAAAATCCAACAAGCTTAAGTCAGGTCCTCTGGACGAATTCTGAAGAATAATCTGTCCAGAGGACCTGATTTAACCTCGTTAGATTATCTACCTGGATTATTGAGCAGCAGCAGGACTAAAAAATGTGCAAGTTGATGAAATGTTAAGCTCAGACTGTGTTGGGAATGACTGGACTCACTCTCAAAGAAGACCAGTGCATCTGAAGGTTCATCACAATCCTGAAGTTCATATAATATTTTGATAACAGACCATCAGGGTTGACTCTAACAGCTAAAGCCAAAGTTTTAAGCAAATATCTTGCACGGTGAGTTGCACTTTGTTGTGAATGACTCTCAGTTACTACACCAATGTCTTGCACGTTATCTGTAAAACTGACTGAATTAGAGCCATTTTTGTCTTAACTGGTTGCGACAGCCATCTTGAATTGGCTTCAGAAGGTAAGTTGTAGGTGCACATCCCACTGACTGAGAGAAAGTCCAGCTCCAGTGTGAGGAGTTACGTGCAGCACCGTGGGCGTCCTTATGGTCTTTTCCATGGGCTCGACTCGGCCCTACTCGGGTCGACTCGGCACAGCTTCAGAGTGTCTCCATTCTTAGTACTTCCAGATTTCAGAGAGCTAGAAAAAAATAGATTCAAATTATAGGCTCCAACTGCTGGAGGGAATGTGGCCACAGCATTTTTGGAAACTGTGGCAGAGGACGGGGAGTGTTTTTGTGACTTTGTCTCACTTATTTGCCAGTTGCAGTGTTGGTTTTACCTTGGATAGAAAACAAAGTGACATGAGTTTGAGCTGCTGTGACACAAAGATCCCCTACATCGAGGCGGCACACAAGTTATATGGAAAAACCACTGAGGCCTTGAAGAGCCCAATAGAGTTGAAGCGAGTTACTGCCAGAAACCATAAATATTAGTATAAAAAGGCAAACTCAGTAAAGGAGTCCATTGTCATTAAATCTTACAATTATGAGCCAGCACTTCAAAAATAAAAACTTACATTATGTTTCATAGGTATTCTGTAAATTAATAAAAATGGGATGTTTTCAGTTATTGTCTGTCTTGTCCATCCTCTTCGTTCAGTTGTTCCCTCTTCAGCAGACCTGGGCGTTGTACGGCCCCAGGGCCACATGCGGCCCTTTGGTTGACTCTGACCGGCCCCCGTAAGGGGAATTACAAAATACATATGTAAACAAATGAAGTTAACCAAATCCAGAGATAGATCCTCTCTCAATAATGATGTGAGCTTTGCTTCACATCTCCACCTCAGACCTTCAACCTGACTTTAACATTTCTGTTAAAGCCCAACAGAGACTAGACTTCTCTCACTAAACAAGAAAAAAGAACTGAAAAACACCAAATGAGATGTTTAGACTACAAATGTAGGCACGTAAAGAACCGGGACTCGAAATCACAGTTCAGTGACGATCACTATTATATGATGTTTCATAATATTTGGAGTACAAAGACAATATTGTGATATATTTACAAAGCTAAGAACTTTTTCCAGCAGTTTATAAAACTCAAAATGAGTTTTGGGGTGAATGTGACTGAAAATGATCATTAATATAACGTCACAAATGGTAAAAATGTTAACAGTTTACCATTGTACTGGGAAATTTAATTGAATAAATGATATTTTTTGTAAGGAAACCTCACTTTTTTGTTGCTTAATCATAACAAATACTCTTACCAGCTTGTTAAAACAGTGCTATGTACTGCTTTTAATAATGAAATACTATTATTATGCAGTATTGAGTTAAGTTGAAATCAGGTCTCTCTTGTAAATGAGTCCTCGAGGCTCAATGGGATTTACCTGTCTAAATAAAGGTTGAATGAAAAAGTCATTTGTGCCAGCCCTCCACAATATTTGCTGTTTCTCATGTGGCCCCATGGAAAAAATAATTGCCCACCCCTGCTCTTCAGGGTCTCCACAGTGAGTCCTCCTCCATCTCACTTCATCCTCTGTCCTCACTCCAACTGTGTCCTCTCTAACTGCATCCACATATCTCCTCCTTGTCTTTTTCCTGGCAGCTGCATTTCTAACATCCTTCTACAAATATACCCACTGTCCCTCCTCTGGACATGTCCAAACCATCTCAGTGTGTCCTCTCTAACTTTATCACCCAGTTGTTCAACCTGTGCTGTACCTCTGATGATCTAATTCCTAATCTTCTCCATCCTTGTCTCTCCTAAGGAGAACCTCAACATCTTCATTTCTGCCACTTCCAGTTCTGTCTCCTGTCCTTTTGTCCATGTCTCTGTCTCCAGACCATACAACATAGCTGGTCTCACCACTGTCTTGTAAACTTTTCCTTTGACCTTTGCTGCCACTTTGTCACAAATCACTCTTGAAACTTTCCTCCATCCACTCCATCCTGCCTGGACTCTCTTCTTCAGTCTTGTCCATGCTGTCAGAAAATAATACATAAATCAAAAAATAGAAAAATATTGTGCAATCTGTTATAATATGTCTCAGCTACTACAGCTGTAAGTTAAACAGAAACTCTTTTAATGTGTATATACCTTTAAGAGTTTTGGGAGCTAACTTCCGGTTTCCGGTAAAGTTTGGTGACTGTCCTCTCTCGCCCTCTAGCGGATATTTTGTACGTCACATCGTCTCCAAGCCACGAGAAGCTTTCAGTTTCGATTGTAAATTTTTCAGTCGTTTACCCTTTAACCTGACGTCTTTATACATTTCTGACTGTATCCGGAACCAAACGTGAACGCTGAGCTCAAACAGAACCTGCGCTGTCGCTTTAAATCTGCGGAGCGGACTTGGCAGGAAGTTAGCCGAAGCTAACAGCTAGCCTAGCCTAGCCGTCATGAAGACGGGCTGAGGAGCAGAAACTGGCAACGAAGCGACGAGTCAAAACACAGTTCTTGCTCGTTCCAAAGGTAAGCTGAACCCGGGGTGCCATTTAAACAATTAAACGTCTTCTTTGTTGTCTTTACAGCGAGTTTACGGGCTTATTTATGTGTGTTTGTTTCGTTGGTGGTGGTCGGCGTGTTGTGTCAGCTCAGACAGATATGGCTCAGGGTGCTAGCATCACTCCAGACAGTCGAATAAAACATTGCAGCTGGAATTAGCTCGGATAAAACAGTTTTACTGTCAGTCAGTCGCTGTATAGGTTATTTCATCCCGTGTGCTTCTCTAAGACGCTTACAGAAGCTTTAGAAACACACCTGTAAACTCACCTGTAGTTCATACCAGCTTTATTTAGGCACTTTAAACACCCACAAGACCCAAATGCTGTACACATAATCTACTAAAACCTTCAAATATTGTTTCCTCCTGATAAATGTCACAGTTATTACATGATTTAGGGATTAACCTACAGTTTATGTCAAAGGATAAATCAGTATAATTCACAAAAATTAGCAGTTTTTGTGTTGTAGCAAACAATGCTTGCTGTAAAGTCAAAATATATTTAATATTTTTACACAGGATTCATTGTAAAATGTGAAATTATACCTAAAAATTATCCTGATATGAAATGGGGCTGTTTGGAAGAGTTTACTCCAGTTTTGTTGCTAAAATGCGGGTCCACTGTCAATGTAAACAAAGCACTTGGCTGAAAACAAGTGGGGGCTTGAGTCCCATCGTCGGACTCGTCACTGTAGGTAAACAAATATGTTGGATTAGTTTAGCTTGTTTTCAGATGCTTTGGCTGTTACTCTACATAAACACATGTGGTACTTAACATCCAAGAACATGTTTTGCTTACGAATTGTTAAAGACGCGTTAATTATTGATTTGAGCAAAAAAAAAATTGTGCAGCTCTTATTTCTTTCTTCGTAATTCTTATTTGCTTTTGTCAAGTCCTTTTAAACTTTTCTGTTTAGGATTTTCAGTTGTACAGTAGCTATACCAGACAATATAAGTCAGTCCTATTTTTACAGCCCCAAAATGTTGAGTTTTTATTAACTTTTTTCATTTTTACACCCGAGCGTGAACTGTCGGGACAAATAATGATTTTAGCTGAAAGAAAACAGCGTAAAGTCTTTTGTAAATTACCTAAATTTGCTGTACAACATCATGTTTTTGTCTTTATTACAGAAAGATCAAGTGGTCCACAGCTTGATTTGGAGACTAGCGAAAAGCAGCTATGGTAAGTAGAAATAATAATAATTTTAAAAATTGTTGTGAAGTTGTTCAAAATAGTGACAAATTCAGTTGCGTTGAGTCTTTTGATGTGTTTTATTTTACTGTTCAAAATTAAAATAGTTGCTTTTCCATCCCAAAAAAAACTTCCTCTCCAGAAACAGTCCATCAAACCAGAGATTTATAGAAAAGTTCCCGGTTTTGTTTAATGTCAGTTTGTCATTTGGAGTCCTCACACAGTTCTTCCTCTCTGTTTCAGTCTTCAACGGTGGATCTGAAGACCAAGGAGGAGAAGGATGCAGAGCTAGACAAACGAATCGAAGCTCTGAGGAAGAAGAATGAAGCTTTGGTCAAGAGGCACCAGGTGTGTAAAACATGTGCCTCACGTGTCTTCGTATCAACTCAGACCCCAGGAGTTTATGAGTGATTTTTGTGTTTGGCGACTGATTTTATTTCATAAAATCTAAATGTTCTCACACAAGAATGGTTAACCAGGGCTCTACAAAGAAACACAAAATAGCAAACATAAGTTAAAAGTTTTAGTGTCTCAGAATTAGTTCAGATCTTTACAGAAAGGATCAGAATGTGCAGCTTTTGCCTGAAATTGAACCTGCTCCAGATCTGGGTGTGTTCAGGAAAAGACGATCACAACAATAAAAGCACAGCTTCCTTTTAAATTAGGAACAAAAAAAAGAAAAAACATGGATGACGATACTCATTTTATCTCTTAGCATTAAAAACACATTGCAAAATCCTGATGAAGAGTCAAAAAAGAAAGATGGAAACTGAATTTACTAAAACGTCTTTTCTTGTATTGACGGTTAAATGTCCTTAAAGTTAAAACTTTTAAGCTAAATCTGTATCGGGCTGCCAGCCGCGTTTGAGTTGACTGAAAAGACGTCAAACACGGACGAGCCGTTCGGGATGGAGACGTCTGATCATTTTCTTGTGCTGCTCATTTTTTTATGCTCAGATTTGTAAATTAAAGGACGTTTTTAAAACAATCTTAGTGGGAAAAAATAAATTTGCCGGTAAACTCTTGCAGAGGTTGCAGAAAAAAATGCGTTTGAGAGCCGAACTCTGACTTCATTGCTCTCCCACCGCCCTTCTTACCTCTAATTCTTAATTTATTCATAACAAGCTTTACTCTTTTATTTTTTTTTATTTGGTGTTTAGCAGCAGATGCACTTTTTTATTTCTACCTCAGAGATTTTACTCTTGTCCGATTCAGACTAATGTAGTTTAGTCACGTGACTCAAGCTTCCACAGGAATATTGGTGGATTCTGCCAAACTTTAGGTACGTACAACAATGTCCAATCAAGTCAGCTGGACTGTTTCTTGTTTTGCTGAGACGTTTTGTCCTTCATCCAAAGGACTTCTTCAATCCGAGAAGCCACCAAACAAAACTGATTCCCACTAACAGCATACTTCATACTGGGAAAAAACAGTTTGCTGATGCTAAGATGGCATCTGGGATCCACCCTCTCCATCATCAGTTCCACTGAGACTGTTTTTTTTTCCACTATGGAGTATTCTGTTAGTGGGAATCAGTTTGTTTAGTGGCTTCTCGGATTGAAGAAGTCCTTTGGATGAAGGATGAAATGTCTCAGCAACGAAATAAATCATGCAGATGACCTGACTGAGCATTGTTGGATTTTATACCTGGATTATTGAGCAGGAACTTTGGTATTAGGTACGTACCTGCAGTTTAGAATGACTGTTTGATACATCTGGAAAACAACTGGCGTGAGCTGTTTCAAACGGCTCCGCATGATGTAGTTTGGGATAAACCTGTTAGCGGTTAGTGGTTTTATAGTTTGTGATGAATACCTTTTACTATTGCTTTTGGTTTTTACTGCGATAGATCTGTAGATATGTGTGTAACATCTAAAGCAGATTCCTCTTAGTTTGTTCTAAAGTCTTTTAAAATGGATGTGGAATAAAAAAAAAACATCATCTTCTTGATAGTAAATGTTTGAGTTTGTTTTTGTTTTGTTTTTCTCAGCTGTCATTTCCTTTTAAAAATTAGCGTTTTAAGAGTTGTTTTGGGGAAAGTGTGACGATTGATTATTGTTTCGCTCCCAACAGGAAATACAAGAAGACAAGAAGAAGGCGGAGCAAGAGGGGATTGCTGTGACAACTCCTCGGAAGCCCCGCCCCCAAGAGCCAGAGACTGATCGGCGAAAGTCTGAGAAGGAGAACTTTGCCGCCGCGGTCGACGTTTGTAAACCTGCAGTGGTGAGACACGAACACTCGAGTCGTCTGCAGCAGGTCTCCGTGTTCAGACTTCTTGACTTTATTTACAGAAAAAGCCTAAAAGTCACAGATAAAACACGGGAATGTGCTGAGGGAGCGTCAGCAGCACAGACGGTCTAACGTTAGTGCAGAACGTCCGTTTAGGAGCGATATTGTCAATCGTTTCGGCCAATGAATGCATTTTAAATTAAAAGTTAGCATTCCTGGAAGGAAGGGAAATCACTTCCCACCAAACAAACTGTTACATTATCACCCAGTTTCACGTCCGCATAGATGATAAAAATGAAAGGAACAGATCGTTTTACATTTAAAATACATTTGCAACAAGAAATCCATCAAGATTGAAACTGGAGTAACGAGGCGGAAACCATTTGTAACCATTATTTCTGCTGAGTGACGGTTTATCAGCTTTATCTTTGTTTTAGATGCATCAGCTGCCGGAAGACTTTGATGTGTTGCTGTAATTCCTCTTCATGCCTGAGTTCATCCGAGAGTTTATGTCACGAGTTTCTGGTTATTGTGTTTAGCAGTTAGCTCTGCTTCTGCTGCATGAAGATTTGATTTGGTGGATTCTGACCGGGTCGTTCTGAGATGATTGGACCTGTTCTACTAACATGATGTTGTAAGAGCAGCTGCTGGTGCAGAATGACCTTCAGTCCACGTATCACAGGAGGTCCACGTCCTGCAGAGCCAGTGCTGTGATCCGTTTATGCAGGTCTGCGCGCTCCGTTTCTCTTCTGTTCGTTACGTCGGTCATTTTCTGCTTCGGAAACTTTACTCAGAGTTTGAGTTTTATATCAATTCACGCTGAACAAATCACTCAACTAAACACCGTTTAATAAGGATCTTTCTGGAATACGTGTCTCTCACCTTCCAAAGATTTAGGTGATCTGTTAGGTGATCTGTTAGGTGATCTGTTAGGTGATCTGTTAACGCTCACACTGTGTTGGGGAGACTTCATGTCTGTAAAACTGACTGTGTCACTGACATCTTTCTGTTTAAGGTTAATTAGCTGTGGCGACCATCTTAAACCAGATGATTACTTTCTGAGAGCTTCTGTCAAATCTGTCCACTGGTTCATGAGATATTTTGCTAACATGACACAGACTTGCATTGTTCTCCTTTGCCATAAAAATGGGCGATAATGATGGACGAAGGACTCATCCTGTTTGTTGGCGCCTCCATGTTGCGTTTTTGAAGCACTGGTGAGATGTAGTGATTAAAGCCCCGCCCACTTACCTGCTTCTTGTAGAGGTTTTCTCGTGTCTCAAGAAGAACGAATGAGCGAATGATAACACGAGCAGAGTTTTTGCTGCGAGTCTGTTTTATAATTATGTGAAAGCAGATTTTATTTACAAATCTTTTTTTAATTATTATTTTTGTTTGTTTCTTTCAGGAGAAGAGAGTCGTGAACGACTGGAGTCCCGGCACGCCTCGCGGCAGGAAGACCTCGGAGGAAAACGATGAACCCAAAGGGCCGAGCGAAGACCTCAACACCCCCAGGAGGACTGGGTCAGGGCGACTGGGCAGGGGAGGTCAGAGAGGAGGTGGGAGTGGTGTAGGAGGAGGTAGGGGTGGTGGCCAAGAGAGGAGAACCTGGGAGCCGAGGACTCCCAGGGAAGGAGAGCCTGGGGAGTCAGGAGGCCAGGGGCACAGAGGAGGAAGGAGAGGAAGAGGAGGAGAAGGGACACCAGGTGGACCTGACAGGAAGTCCAAGGTGAGGAGGGATGCTGGAGTAAAGTTTGTTTACTGCAAAAGGAGAAACACACGGCACAAAATCAGCCTTAAAAATATTTGTTTCCCTGCTGAGAGCTGCTTATTTCCAGCCAAGACTCTCTGGGAAACATAAACAAAAGAATGACGTGTTCCTGCACCTACAGGTCTACGAGGGAAAACGTTTCGGGTGAAAAGTTCTTAAAGGGTCTGTTTTATGCACCGTTTTTTCCATCGTCCAGTCTCACCACGATCAGCTTCCACCGTCCTCGGTTCTACACCGTCTAGATCGTAAAAACAACCTGGAGACAGCGATGCGTGCATTCATTACATCCAGACTCGATTACTGCAACTCGCTCCTGTTTGGTGTCAGTCAGACCTCCATTGCATGACTACAACTGGTCCAGAATGCTGCAGCCCGATTTTTAACCAGTACAGGCAAAAGAGAGCACATTACACCAGTTTTGGCCTCACTGCACTGGTTACCAGTTCACCTTCAAATCCAGTTTAAAATCCTTCTGTATGTTTTTACATCACTGAACAGCTCTGCCCCCTCCTACCTCGCTGATCTGCTGCAGCCATATGTCCCACCGCGTTCTCTCAGGTCTGCGGACCAGTTGCTTCTCTCAGTTCCAGGAACTCGTCTTAAGCACAGAGGTGACGGGGCCTTCTCTGTCGCAGGACCAAGACTTTGGAATGAGTTACCTCTACCTGTTTGTTTCTGTCTGTACAGCACTTTGGTTGGTCTTGTCGCTGTTTAAACTGCTCTATAAATAAAATGGTATGGTGGATCGGGGTGCCCACACTTTTTCAGCATGCGAGCTACTTATAAAATGACCAAGCCAAAATGATCCACCTACTATAAAAATACAAAACGTGTACTTATTTGCTGTGTCACTCAACGTCTGCAGACTCGTCCAATAGCCATGAAAAACACTCGCAGTCCGCGGTGTCCTTCCAACTTTCTGGGTCAACTCCTTGGACATGGCGTCACAGCGCCATGCAACCGTATTTCTTGATACCTGGAGCTTTGGTCGAAGATATTTCTGGTTTGTTTTTAAAGTCTCAGAACAACGAGTCAGTTGCTTCAACGGATAGGTCTTTTACTGTCTCTCTGTCCTGGAATTAATTAATTATTATGTGACTCACCTGGAACGATGCTTCGGTAGCTACCTTCGCTTTTGTGTTCAGCTGTAAGGAAAAAGACTGCTGTCTTGACAACTGGGATTTTAGTTCCTTCACCTTTTTTCTTTCTCAGCTCACTTTTCTGAAAGAAGTCAGAGTCGTAGTTTTTCTGAATAGTCCGAAATGCCGCTCCACATTTCCCTTCTTCCGAAAACAAATGGTAGACCGGCAGATGAGGCAAAAACTCTTTGAATATGACATCGTGAAGAAAAAGTCCTCCCATTCCGTATGGAAATGGTAGGTTTTTTGCTTCTTACTTGGTCCAGCTCTCCCACTCATTATACCATTTCTTTGTACCTTTTCTTTTACTCTTTAAGTATATGAGTGTTCCTGCTCAGTGCCCTGAGATGACTTCTGTTGTGACTTGGCGCTATTTAAATAAACTGAACTGAAGGAAAACTTGAGTTTAGAAGAAATAAACTGGAGGCTAACTAGACAACTCGGTAGCTTGCCAGCTTTTGGTGTGGTTGTATGCGCGTGTGTGGTGACCTAGTGTCAGAAAAGATCAGGTCTCAGATTGGCTGCCATGTATGGATGATGGGCTTGCATCTATTTTTTTTAAATGCCATGTCACCTACTCATATTACCTTTGCGATCAACTTATTGGGCACCCCTGGTCTAGATGGTTTTCAACATGAGTGATGGCATGGTGTCCAGAAATGCTGTGTTCGAGTCCAGGCCGTCGTTCCTCATCTGGTCTGGGCCCTTTCATCAAGTCCGTTTGGACTAGCTCCATCTGAATTCTGTCGTCAGCCACCAAGCACAGAAACATCCGCACCTCCTCATTTTACAACCGTGTCGCTTTATAAGTTATCATGTTGGAGATGAAGCTACCAGGAAGTAGACAGAGGACAAACATGGCTGCAGTTAGAGAGGACAGAGTGAGGACAGAGTGAGATGGACTTTCTATCTAATCTATTTATTTATTGAATTTGATGCAACACTTCCTGCAGGTCCATTTTATAAAACGTAGAGCCCCTGTCTGTAAAATGGGGACTGGACTGACTTTTTCTGTTGTTTCGACCAGAACTTTTGTCATTTTTTGCCTTTTTTGTTAAACTAAACTCAAAATTCTGCCAAAAACAACGCAGTCTTTCTCAGCGACCGTTGTAAAATCGTTGAAGTGTCTCAGAAATGACCCAGTTTTGTTGTTAAATCTCGTGATTTAGTTTTTATTTTCCGTGTTTTAATCAGACTGCTTTTGTAAAAGACCTGAAGCGTCTCTGCTGCTGTTTCTGAACAGGAGTGGGAGGAGAAGAGGCGTCAGAACATCGAGAAGATGAACGAGGAGATGGAGAGGATAGCCGAGTACGAGAGAGGACAGCGGGTATCGGAACCACAGATCCTTGACGGCTTTATCGGAGTTAAACAGCCCGCATTTGAGTTTCTGTCTCATTTCTACTTTTTTGATTTCAGGCGGACGGAGACAAACCGATCCGCAATTTCCTGGATGATCCGAGACGTTCTGGTCCGGCACCGGATATCGACCGAAAGGAGGGCAGCAGGAGACACGTTCGAAACTGGGGCGGGCTAGACTTCGACAACGTGAAGACAGGACCCGAGTTAGAGAGAGAGTGGACCGTAAGTTCTGTAAGTCCTCAGCTCGTGACGAAGCTCAAACGTTTCCGATTTAACGCTGTCGGGCCGCGCAGAGTCGACGGCCGGGCCCGAAAGGTTCTGTGGACATGACCATGTCGATGACGGGCCGGGAGAGAGCGGAGTACCTGCGCTGGAAGAAGGAGCGCGAGCAGATCGACGAGGAGAGGCTAGCACGCCATCGTAACGCCACGGGCCAGTGGAGGCGGGAGTGGGACGCGCAGAAGACTGAGAACATGTGAGGTTTCAGATTTCTCTGTGGATGCTGCCTCGTTGTGTCGTGTGTTGTTGTGTTGTTGTCATGTGTTGTTGTGTTGTTGTCATGTGTCGTTGTGTTGTTGTCATGTGTTGTCATGTGTTGTTGTGTTTTTGTGTCATGTGTTATGTCATGTCTTGTTGTGTTGTTGTCATGTGTTGTTGTGTTGTTGTCATGTGTTGTTTTGTCATGTGTTGTTGTGTTGTGTCATGTGTTGTTGTCATGTGTTGTTGTCATGTGTCGTTGTGTTGTTGTCATGTGTCGTTGTGTTGTTGTCATGTGTCGTTGTGTTGTTGTCATGTGTTGTTGTGTTGTTGTCATGTGTCGTTGTGTTGTTGTGTTGTTGTCATGTGTCGTTGTGTTGTTGTCATGTGTCGTTGTGTTGTTGTGTCGTTGTGTTGTTGTCATGTGTTGTTGTGTTGTTGTCATGTGTCGTTGTGTTGTTGTGTTGTTGTCATGTGTTGTTGTGTTGTTGTCATGTGTTGATGTGTTGTTGTCATGTGTCGTTGTGTTGTTGTCATGTGTCGTTGTGTCGTTGTCATGTGTCGTTGTGTTGTTGTCA